GCAATTTATAACTTTTTGTTCATTTCATTGTATAATGCATTTCAATTCTTCTTTTGCACTACAAGATATTTGTGTAAAGCTTACTTGCATGGGATAATTAAGGCAAGTAGATTCTCATTTATTTCTCCATATGAAATGGATGAGGAGCTCAATCTGAACCCACATCAACATATAGCTGAAATGTTGAAGCGTCATATGGGTGAAGATCACTTGATTTTTGCACCTTACAATGTTGGGTAAGTCAATTTGATTGAGCATTGCTTTATGTTTTATAATTTAGCATATAATTTTTAATTTTTGTAATCTTAAACATATATTTATACTCTTGGTAGGTAACATTAGGTCTTGGTTGCTATCAATACCTTTGATAAGACTATGTATTATATGGATCCTCTATGCAAGTTGCTGAAGACTAGAACACATATGCAGAACCTATTTAATAAGTAAGTGTTAAGTGCTAGAAATTCATATTCTGTCATTAATTTGGCATATTTTTTGGTTGAAATGTAAATAATTATGGGGTATTTAACTCCCAATTAGATGAATTAATCTAATTGACGAAGTCACAAGAGTGGTAGTGTTTTCTTTTAAAATATCTCTCTTTTGTGTAGAATTTGGTGAAGTCTGAAATTCAGGGCTATAGCCCCAAAACCACAGCTACAGCCATGAAAGTGTGCAACAAAATGAGGATTCCAGAGAATTACAACCAAAGTTGTGAATCTGCAGCTATAGCCGTGAGAGAATTAGTGCAAGCCAAAGCTACAACTACAACGGTGAATCCATAACTATAGCTGTGGAGTTAAAATCTATTCGAGTTCCCCTTGTTTTGAAGACCCATAAAAGAAAAACGTCTAGGAAGTGAAAAAGACAATAAAAGCATAATAGATCAGAGAAAAAAATGGGACTTTTTCGAGGGGAAAAGGAAAAACGGAGCAACGGAAGACGTGGGGAGGATTGCTTCAGAACGAGGATCGCATCTTCATTTTTTGTCATTGTAATTTCATTCTGCATCTTGCTATGGCCCTCACTATGAGTGGCTAATTTCTTTTAGATTGGATTTAATATAACTCCTAACTCAATTACTTCGTGAGTTTATATGAATTTCAGTTTATTTACTTGAGTGTGAGTCTATTCTTAATGCTTAATTCGGCTTGATCACTCGATTTATGATCTTTGACTTTTGAATTCTATTGGGAAATGCTTTTGAAAACCCAAACTAAATCACACACCTAATAATCACTTATACTAGGAATAGACTTGTAGTTGTTAGCCACATATGTTCAAGTTTTGTTCTTAATGCAAGGTATTAGTCTTAAAACATAGAGGAATCATGTTGTAGGATTAATTACTTTAGGACTTAATTTTGAAGGATTTGGTTAAGTTATGTAATGAACGTGGAAGTAATAGAATTGGAATCATAATTATTCAATGAAGATAAAAGAGTTAGAAAGTATATTTGAATCCGATCTCTTCTCGCATAAGGTTTTCTACTAAATTTCAATTTGTTGTTTTTATATATTTTAGAACAAATCAATATTTCATCACATTCTTTATTTTTTTTTACATACAACAAGAAAGAAAATTACTATTATCACGAAATTTTTGAGGATGATATCAAATTACTGCATCGAAGCTTGGTTCGCTTGCCAAGTGTTACCAAAAAGTTCACCAAGTTTCTGGCGCCATTGCCGGGGATTTGGCACAGATATTTAATAACATTCATTTCTTGTTAATTTTTGTTAATAGTTAATTTTGTGAATATTTATAGTATATATAGTTATTTTGTTACTTGGATTTACCCTTTTGTTAAGATTTCTTATATACAAGGAAAAACTCCAGTTGAAGATTTGCAATTTGATCCTGAGATAGAGAGAACAGCAAGGAGAAATAATAGTAGAACAAGAAGGCTCAGATAGTTGGAGACACTTCGAGAACAACAACAAGAGTTAATTTTTCAATCTTTTTCAACTTCTTCCAATCAACCATTTCGTGAGTTAGAAATGGCTGAAGAAGAAGCAAATTATAATGGTAGGGCTGAACCAGGTAGACCTCCAAGAAGGACATTGGGTGATTATGCTCAACAACAAGGCCCAAGACATTTTTCTAGTATTGCAGCTCCTACTGCTTCCAGAGCCATGGAATTGAAACTAGCTTTTCTCAGCTTAGTTAGCTCACAACAGACTTGACCATGAGGATCCATATTCTCATTTGTCTAATTTTTATGAGCTTTATAGTACAATGAGTATTCTAGAAGGTGATGAAGAAGATGTTTATTTAAGATTGTTTCTTTTTTCTTTGACATGTAAAGCTAAAATATGGCTACAATCTCTTCCTAATCAAAGTTTGATCGGCTGGAGTGATGTGGAGAACAAATTTGTTAACAGATTTTACCCTTCATCCAAGTATAACAAAGCCAAGGCTGAGATTACTACTTTTAGGCAAAGCATAGATGAACCATTTTGTGAAGCTTGGGAGAGATTTAAATTATTGCTTAGAAATATCCTAACCAGACCCGTTCCTGACTTTTTTTGAGCCCTAGGCAAAATATTAAATTGGGGCCCTTTCAAAAAAAATTATATGACATAATACAACAAAATAAAAGCATAATTCTATTAAAATAATATGTTTTTTAAGTAAATAGAATTTTTTTTCTAATAAAATTACACAAAAAAAAAACCATTCAAATAATTTTTTTAACTCTTCAGCACGTTTTCTTTTTTTTCTTTTTTCACTTCCAGATAAATGCTTTTTAGGTAACATTGCATATAAAAGATAAATAAGACAATACAATCATAAAACAAGGGAAAAAGAACAATAGCACCCGGTAGAAGAATTCAACTTAAATGTTTGCTTTCACATATGCAAATTCCACAAGCATAATCCAGTCCCTAGGAATCTGAAAATATAATTATAATAATCAATTAGGGAATAGGATGATAATCAAAGGCATAACAACATATTGTAGACTTGCAGACTATAATTATAATTCGTATGCAACATGCTATATATAATATGTAATATACTATATTTCATAAAGGTATAACCTGAAAATCACAATGCAAAGGATTATAGTAAATCAAATCTCCTAATTAATGTGATGATTATTCCTAATTACAGCAGTCGCTAGTTTTGGATGCCAAACAGCTCCAGGAAACTCACAAATATTACACATTCAATCATGGCATTGCAATCAGCACAAATTCTGCAATAAAACACAGCTATAACAAGAGTCAGGAGATGGAACATAATTAATAAACCAAAAGAAAAATAAAAATGGCGCTTTTTATTCATAATATAAATATTCCTACTAAAGCATTTATATAAATAGCGAATTAATCACCTTCTTAACGCGAAATGCCTAACTGGGTTTGAATTGCAGAATAGCTCTTTTAACTCTCTTACTTTTCCCACTAAAAAGAAAAGCAAAGATGTCTTTGAAACAAATGTGGGTAAGTGGGTTATCTGTACATAGTAAATAACAAAATCAATTTTTTAGGTAAACGATTTTTTTAACATTTGCCGAATAAGGATTGAGGAACAGGGAGGAAGAAAGAAAAAAGAAAGAAAAGTGAGGAGGAAAGAACTACCTGCAACAATGGTGGGTTTTGTCTTTTTGATTATGATAAAATACAGAATTGCACACACACTGTTAAAAGGTCTGGAGAAGTCGAAGAAGTAATTACGTTTTTAGCAAGCAAAGTTTGATTGTGTGAGAAATTGAAAAATCTTCTTTATTTTTTTTATTTTTTCAACTGCAAATTACAAGTATTATAATTTTTATTTTGGGCCCCTTTTAGGTCTGGGCCCTTGGCGATCGCACTCTCAGCCTACCCTCAGAACCGGGCTTGATCCTAACCATAGGTTTGAAGATATAGCACAACTGAACTTCTTTTGCAATGGAATCAAACTTGAAGTGAAGATGTTGTTAGATGCAGCAGCTGGTGGTACTATGATGTCTACAAATCTTGATGAAGCCACGCAGATCATTGAGTCATTAGCATCTCTGATCAACAAGCACAACATGGAAGATATCAATCTCCAAGAAGAGGAATCATTAAATTGAACACTAATGATGTTAATCTTGCTTAGAATAAGTTGCTAACCCAACAGATTGAAGTCTTGACAAAACAAATGGCTAAGCTGCCATAACAACTCCATGCAATACATATTCCTCAAACCAATCCTCCACTCAAGTGTGATTTATGTGGAGGAGACCATCCAAATGGGTCCTATTTAGAAACTACCAATGAATAGGAAGTCACTTATATGGGTAATCAACCAAGATGAGGTAATTTTAATTCCTGGAATTTGAATGCTAATAATTTCATGCAGGGAAATCAAGGTTAGAGGAATAATGCTAATAACAACCAAGGCTTTGGATGGAGAAATGAAGCAGAGACTTCCAATAGATCTCCACAACAACAACAACAAGCTTCTTATCCTTCTATTCATGAGAGGACTAGCAAGTTGGAGGACACCCTGAATCAATTCATGCAAGTATCTATCACTAACTAGAAGAATACAGAGGCTTCCATAAAAAATCTAGAAGTTCAGGTGAGTCAGTTAGTGAAACAATTAACTGACAAGTTTGAAGGTCCATTCTCAGCAAACACAAAGACCAACCTTAAGGAGTAATGCCAAGCCATCATAACAAAGAGTGGTAAGGTGGTACATAGTGATGTTGGAGTGAGTGAGAAAAAGAGTAAGGAGAAAGAACATGAGAAGCGTGGTGTGGTTGAGAAAGAGATTGAGAGGAAAGATGGAGAAAGTAATAAAGGTGAGGATGTAAATAATAAGAGTGGAAGTGAAAAAGAAAATAAAAAAGAGGAAGTAAAACAAAAGAGCGGAGTAGAAAAAGAAAAGAATAAGAAGAAGGGCAAGAAGCTAATTTCGACAGTTCCTATTAAAGACCTACCTTACCCCCGTGCACCATCAAAGAAAGAGAGAAAGATAGTTTGCAAGATTTCAAGCTCCAGATCAATAATCCTTTCACTGAAGCTATGGAACAAATGCCCACATATGCTAAATTTATGAAGGATTTGTTGACCAAGAAGAGAAGGATTCCTGAAGAGAAAACTGTGGAGCTTGAAGCAGGATACAATGCTATTATACAAAAGTCTCTACCCCAGAAATCCAGAGATCCGGGCAGTTTCACTCTTCCAGTGACTATTGAAAACTTATCAGTGGGAAAGACACTTCTAGATCTTGGTGCTAGTAACAATTTGATACCTTTATCTATGCTCAAGAAAATTAGAGATGTGGAGGTACGCCCTACAAGGATGACCTTGCAGCTAGCAGACAGATCAATGAAGCTTCCACATGGCATAGTTGAAGATATGATAGTAAAGGTGGACAAATTCATGTTTTCAGTGGATTTTGTAGTAATGGATATAGAAGAGGATGCAGAGGTTCCTTTGATTTTAGGTAGACCATTCATGAAGACAGCCCGAGTTATCATTGACATGGATGACGGAAAGCTAAAGGTGTGAGTTCAAGTTGATGAGATTAATTTTAATGTGTTTGAAGCAATGAAGTTTCCAAAAGGTACCAAAGAATGTTTTAGAGTTGATGTATTGGATGATGTATACTTGGAAGCTCAAGGCAATCTTAGGAACTCATCACCACTTGAAAAAGTTTTGTTTAATACTAATGAGGAGTTTGATGAGACTTTAGACAAGGAAGTGCAAGAGTGCATTGATAGTTTGAATAAAGGTGAAAGTTCTTCTACTAATGCTCATTTGCAAGAAGATGTAAGGGAAGAAGAGAAAGTGCAACCTGTAAAGCTAGAACTGAAGCAACTACCATCTCACTTGAAATATGTCTTTTTGGAGAGTGATTGTGGGAAGCCAATTACTATTAGCAGTCATTTGTCAAAGGAGCAAGAGAATCAATTGATTGAGGTGATCAATGCCAATAAAGGTGCTATTGAGTGGACTTTAGCAGATTTGAAGGGAATTGGTCCTTCATACTATATGCATAAGATACATATGGAGAAAGATTATAAGCTAGTAGCCCAACCTCAAAGACGCCTGAATCTGACCATGAATGAGGCAGTGAGAAAAGAAGTGGTTAAGTTGTTAGAAGCCGGTATGATCTACCTCATCTCAGATAGTGCTTGGGTCAGTCCGGTCCAAGTTGTTCCTAAAAAAGGGTATGACAGTTGTGAGAAATGAGAAAAATGAGTTGATTCCAACTAGGACGGTGATAGGGTGACGTATGTGTATAGATTACAGGAAGCTCAACTAGGTCATAGGAAAGATCACTTTCCCCTACCATTCATGGACCAGATGCTTGAGAGATTGACTGGTCAATCATACTATTGTTTCTTAGATGATTACTCTAGATACAATTAGATAGCAGTAAATCCTCAAAACTAGGAAAAGACAGCTTTCACATGTCCTTTTGGTGTATTTGCTTATAGGAGGATGCCATTTGGCTTGTGTAATGCACCAGCCACATTCCAGAGATGTATGTTAGCTATTTTTTCTGATTTACTTGAGAGATGCATTGAAGTATTAATGGACAATTTCTTAGTTTTTGGATCCTCTTTTGATGTTTGCTTCAAAAACTTAAACACCGTACTGAAGCGGTGTGTGGAGACCAATTTGGTATTCAACTGGGAGAAGTGTCACTTTATGGTAACTGAAGGAATTGTACTGGGTATAAAATCTCAGCAAGAGGAATAGAGGTTGATCCAGCCAAAGTGGAGGTCATTGCTAAGCTTCCACCACCAACCAACGTCAAAGAAATAAGGAGCTTCTTAGGGCATACAGGTTCTTATAGAAGATTCATCAAAGATTTCTCCAAGATAGCTAAGCCTCTTAGTAACCTTCTCCTCAAAAGCATTAACTTTGATTTTAATGATGATTGTTTAAAAGCTTTTGAATTACTAAAGAAAAATCTTGCTTTAGCTCCCATAATCACAACACCAGACTGGAAATATGATTTTGAACTCATGTGTGATGCTAGTGATTATGCAATAGGAGCTTCATTGGGTCAAAGGAAGAATAAAATTTTTCATATCATATACTATGCAAGTAAAGTGTTAAATGAAACTCAAGTAAATTATGCAACAACTGAGAAAGAGTTACTTGCTATAGTGTATGCATTTGAAAAATTTCGTTCTTATTTCATTGGTTCGAAAATCATTGTACATACTGACCATGCAACTATAAAGTACTTGTTGACAAAAGCTGACTCCAAGCCTAGGTTGATCCAGTGGTTCTATTGTTACAAGAATTTGATTTGGAGATCAAAGACAAAAAAGGTTATGAGAATCATGTTATTGATCACTTATCAAGACTTGTAAATGAACAAGTGACCAGTCAAGAGGGTGAGGTCTTGGAGGAGTTTCCAGATGAAAATTTATTTGCGGTGAGTTAAAGACCTTAGTTTGCTAATATGACAAATTACAAGGCAGCAGGAGTCATTCCTACAGAGTACAATTGGCACAAGAAAAAGAAATTCTTCAAAGACTCTAACTTCTATGTCTGGGATGACCCTTACTTATTCAAGAGAAGAGCTGATGGTTTATTGAGAAGGTGTGTATCAGGAAGTGAATGCAAAGATATTCTATGGCACTGCCATAATTCTCCATATGGTGGCCATTACAATGGTGAGCATATAGCTGCCAAGGTTTTACAAGCAGGATTCTATTGGCCATCTCTCTTCAAGGATGCTCATGAGCATTGCAAAAGTTGTGACAAATGCCAAAGAACAAGTAGAATTTAAAAAAAAAAAACATAAGTTACCTTTATAGACTATCCTTGAGGTTGAATTATTTGACTGTTGGGGATTGATTTTGTTGGTTCACTTCCATCTTCATACTCCAATGAATATATACTGGTAGTTGTGGACTATGTATCAAAATAGGTAGAAGCTAGTGCTACTCAGAAGGTCGATGCCAAGATTGTCATTAGGTTCTTGAAAAAAAATGTATTTTGTAGGTTTGGTGCTCCAAGAGTGCTCATTAGTGATGATGGATCACATTTTTGTAATACTCAACTGAGAAAAGTACTTTAGCATTATGGAGTGGGGCATAGAGTGACTACACCATACCATCCTCAGACCAATGGTCAAGCTGAGGTCTTCAATTGAGAATTAAAGAAGATCCTGGAGAAAACTGTAGCTAGTTCAAGAAAAAATTGGGCTATGAAGCTGAATGACACCCTATGGGCATATAGAATAGAATTCAAGACCCCAATTGGGTTGTCTCTATTTCAGCTGGTTTATAGTAAGGCGTGTCATTTGCCCGTGGAGCTGGAGCACAAGGCATTTTGGGCCTTGAAGGCATTGAATTTTGATACGAAGATAACTGGTGAAAAAAAATTCAGTTGCAAGAACATAGAGGAATTGAGATTGCAGGCCTATGAAAATAATAAGTTATACAAGAGTAAAGTAAGGGCTTATCATGACAAGAACATAGTGAAAAGGAACTTACAACCTAGTCCATCAGTTTTGTTATTCAATTCTAGATTGAAGCTATTTCCAGGCAAACTCAAATTAAAGTGGTCAGGCCCATTTTTGGTTAAATCTATTAAACCATATGGAGCAATTAAACTTGAAGAACCTGCCACGGGAAGAACATGGACAGTTAATGGTCAAAGACTCAAGCCTTATTTGGGTGGTGAAGTTGAAAAGCTCATTACCACCACACATCTCAAGGTGATTTGATCATTCAGCAATGTCAAGCTAAAGACATTAAATTAGCATGTTTAGTGTGAATTATGTGTGAATTTGAATTTGTGTTATCCATATTGTGTGATTAAGTATGTGTGTGTTGAATGTTGAAGTCATTTTAGTTATGCATTTGCTTGCGTAGTTGTGAAAGTTGAGCATTTTTATAAGTATTGATATGCATTTGGTTAAAGGTATGTTAGTTAGTTTGTTAATTTGATATGCATTTATATAGCTTATGCATTGTTGTTAGATGATTAGTTAGTGTGATTTGCTTTATGTTAGTTTGTTTAATTGAGTGAATTAAAGCTGGTAGAAAGACAGGGTAGGAGGACAAAGATTCAAGAAAAGTTAGAAGTATAAATATTCAAGATTTCATATTTTCTGAGTCTCATATCTGTAACCCTCACTCACGGCTGCAGCCGTTTTATTAGAAAAATAGCTTAAAATCATTTGTTGATATGAGCGTTGTAGCGCTTATTTAAGGGCTATAGCTACAACTCTCTGCCCAATCAATTTGTATCCAGCGCTGTAGCACTCATTTCAGGGCTATAGCTACAACTCTCTGCCAAATCAATTTATATCCAGAGCTGTAGCGCTCATTCCAGGGCCATAGCACCAACTCTCTGTTTTTGGCATAAAAGTAATATTATCTAGCGCTGCAGCAGTCAAAGCCATGGCTACAGCGGTGAGACGCAAGAATCACTTTAAGTGATTTCAAAACATCAGTTTCATTCATTTTTCTTTCGCATCCTTACGCTATTTAAACTCATCACTAACCCTTCACCTTTCTTCCACTTCTCCTCAATTTCTTGCACATTTTTAGACCTATGAATTTTTGTTCTTCAATTTTGGGCATCAAAGGTACGTCTCTTTTCTCTTTTTCCTCCCTTTCTTCCACTTTTCTTTTTCATTGTTCACCATGGAAGGAACCCAAGCTTCTTTCCTCTTTTATTGTATAATAAATTCATTGAAGGAATGAATTATCTTGCCTAAGTAAGTACATTATAATATCATTGAGTTGCTTCCTACTTCCATGTGTATACATTTTTGAACCCCAGGGTTCATGTGCTGAACCCTAACTTTGAAAAATTATCATTGTGAAATTTTCATGTTTTGGGTACCTTGATGTTTGATTCTAATATGCTGGATACCGTGATTTGAGTTGTGGATACATTGTTGTACAATTTGGTTGAAGCATAAATGAAAACGTGTTTGGAAAATACACTTCAAATATTTGCATGCAAGGTGTTTGTTAAAATGAGTGTGTGAAATTAAAGGGATGATTACATTGAAATGATGTGGTTATTGAAACATATTATAAAAGCTTGTCATGGATTTGTATAATTTCTGTGATGATTGGTTCAAATTTTGGTGATTGATGAATTTTGCATGCAAAGTGTTTGGGAAATACTTGAATGATGGATGGATTGTGATTATGGTATATCTTATGTGTATAACTTAACCGTTTGGAAGCATTATTTGCATCCCTATGTTGACTATGGTGAAAATTCTTTTGTAAATGATGTGGTATAGATGGTTCATTCTAGAGGTGGGGGTGCAGCACGAGGGTCACAACTCACACATGAGATATCCGCTAACAAAAAAAGGAAAGATGTAGCTTCCACTTCTCATCCTCAATCATCAGATTCTTCTAAAGAGAAGCAACAACATACGCCACCATAAAGACCTTTAACCTTACAGCCCAACAGGTTCAAAAATAAACATAAGCAACAGAAATTTTTGGATCTCCAAGATAAGCAAATAATAGTTGAAAGGCCTATTCCTAACTTGATACCAATGCTAGACTTTC